TAGGATTCTTCCCATTTTGTGGACAAGGCTCTAGAGCCCTGTTTGATTCAACAAGGAGTTGAATGACTGATATAAGTCAGGCAGAGCCAGGCCAGAGCACTCACCCATGGTCTGCTCTTACTGGAATTGAAMTGAGCTGGGATGATTTGGGCAGGAGGGTGAGATGGGCATTGGGAGCAGTTTGTTCTTCGAGGTGAGAAAATGCTGGCTGACAGAGCAAACCTTCCTCTCCTGTCTTATTCATCTCTGTTTAAGCCCTTTATCAGAAGCATGCAGAAAGGAGCTTTCTTAGCTGTCAGTCCTGTTGTGCAGGTTAGGATTTCCCCCACCTTTCCTCTCCTGGCTTCCTGGCTCCCTGTACCATTCTCACAGCAAAATATAAAGTTCTTTTACTTCTAGGCTCTTGCCTAGTGTATTCTTCGAGTTATTGCCTGATATATTCTTTTCCTATCTTGCTGCATGTTCAAACCCTCGAAGACCCAGCTTAAATGCCACCACCTCAGGGAAATCCTCAGTGATGCCCACATTGCCCCTAAGCCAGAAGTGATCTCTTTGATCTAGTGTCCTTTATCTGTGGCCCAAGTTTGGGAGTTTTTATAAATATACCTCCCTCTCTAGGCTCTCAGCTCTCCAAAGAGGAGAGGGTAGAATTCAGGACATGCCATATGGAGTGCCTACAGAGGTGGCCTGGCAAGTAGCAGAAGTGACACATTGGTGCAGGACTTTTGGGAGTGGCACTGGCAGCCCTATTCCAGCCAATTACTGTCAGGCAGGAAGGGTAGTAGCCCAGTGATGCCAGGTCAGTTTTTTAAGGAAAAGCTCCACATCTAAATTTCTGTATAAAAATATCTTTTTTGTAGTGTTAGACATTCATGCAAGAAAAGTTTTAGCACCATGCAGATTCCATAAAATTTGGAGGTTGGTTTCATGAGTCTGTGGCATCTGATGGAGTTTCCCTCAGTCAGTAGATCTGGGTCTCCTGGCTCTTACTTCATAATTATGTGATGACAGCTTTATGATYTGAATCTGAATTATATATATATTTTAGTTGTAGRTGGACACAATACCTTTATTTTATTTTTATGTGGTGCTGAGGATTGAACCCAGTRCCTCACAAATGTCAGATGAGCACTCTACCACAGAGCCACAGCTCCAGCCCTCAATTTTCTTATCTGTAAACAACAATAATGATCAGAGAGCTTCTCTCCCAAGGCCAGGTTCTTAAAATGTGGTCTACGGCCCAGTGGTCCCAGTGTCACAGGAAAATTTGTCAGCAAAGTAAACCCCAAGTCCTTACACTAAATCTACTGCAACTCTGGAGTAGGGTCAGCAATCCAGCCCTCCAGGGGACTTGAGCCTCTTGAGTTTGAGAGCCAGTAACATAGAAGAAAGACATATTGGGTGCTTTGGGTGCAATGGGGAGGGATGTGAGCTCTTCTCAATGGAGATGGGGAAGAGGAAGCCTCTGAGCTCTGAAAGCCAGGCAGTACGCTAAACAGAGGTGGTCTTAGGAGTGGGACCTTATAGAAATTGGGATGTTTTTCCAAGGAGACTAGACTTCTTTGAAGTGCCCTCACAGTTTCTTTCTCCTTTTTTTTTTTTTTTTGTGGTGGTGTTGGGGATTGAACCCAGGGCCTTGTGCATGCAAGGCAAGCACTCTACCAACTGAGCTGTATCCCCAGCCCAGCCCTCACAGGAAAGATATTGTCACATTTGAGTTTGAGATTAGCTCTCTGGATTCTAAAAAGAAGAGACTAGAGGGAGTGAGGTAGTGGGAGCAGTTCAAGCAAGAGTGGTATGGACCTAGAGTAGTGACCAGGGGAACTGGAGGGCTCCACAGGGCAACTTAACTAATTATGGAGAAATAAGAGGGAGGTGAGCCTGGAGTGGTAGTCCCTTTAGGGATGTTATATGTTGGATGAAATTATATTGAGCACCCTATTGTGTGTTTCATTGCTGGGGATAGAGCAGTGAGCAAGAATTCCTTCCTGGGAGTGCTGGGATTATGGCTCAGTGGTAGAGTGCTTGCCTAGCATGTGTGAGGCACTGGGTTTGATTCTCAGCACCAAATATAAATAGAAATAAAGGTTCATTCACAACTTTAAAAAAAAAGCTATCATGGAATTGACATTTTTGTGTGGGGGAGAAAAAAATTAACAAGAAGAAATTAATGTGTCAGATACTGAGAGGCAGGGAATGAGGGGAAAGGGTGGGGTACGGTTGTGAGAACTATTATAGTTTCAAATAGAGTACTCATGGAAAACCTCAGTGACAAGGTGATGTAAGCAGGACAGATGAGATCAGGGGTGAGGTGGTTTAGGAGAAGAGCAAGCCATGCATAGAGTACAGCAAGTTGGGGCCCCCATGTGATGGGAGCAAGTTTAGGACAGAAGTTAAGGGACATGGAGGAGGAGACAGTCCTCTGGGTGCATCGATGGTAGTGGCCAGGAGTACTGATATCTCCTTTGCCTGTCCAGGGCAAACAGAGAGCCGTGGGCGACTACAGGGTGTAGCCGAACTGCGCTTGGCAGGTCTGGAGCTGACAGATGCCTCCCTGCGGCTCCTGCTGCGCCATGCGCCCCAGCTGAGCGCCCTGGACCTGAGCCACTGCGCCCACGTTGGGGACCCCAGTGTCCACCTCCTCACAGCTCCCACTTCCCCACTCCGAGAGACCCTGGTACACCTCAATCTTGCTGGTAAGCATGGTTGCCTGTCCATCTTGCTAGGCTGTTGGTTCCCCTGGTCAGTGCCTACTACCTACTTACCTACCAGGTCTCAGCTGCCACTGCTGTRTCCCCAGGTTGCCACCGCCTCACGGACCACTGCCTCCCGCTGTTCCGCCGCTGCCCACGTCTCCGCCGACTAGACCTGCGCTCTTGCCGCCAGCTCTCACCTGAAGCTTGTGCCCGTCTGGCAGCTGCCGGCCCTCCTGGTCCCTTCCGCTGCCCAGAGGAGAAGCTACTTCTCAAGGACAGCTAGTCGGGAGCCCCCCACCATCCCCCAGGACTCATCAGGAGCCTGGACCTTGGGCCTTCATTTCATCCTCTGTTGGGAGGCCAGGTTACCCACCTCATGACTTGGGATTCCTGAGTTTGGTGACTTGGGATTCCTACCCAGGGACCGGAGCCAGCCTCCTGCTTCTCTTCCCCCCTGCACTGATATCTCTGGGGGTCTCTCCTTCCCATCTCCTCCCCCTTCCACTTGCTTCATTGTCCATCCCCTGGGGGAAGTGGGTCAGAGGTACTGGGGGGTGCTGAGCCAAAGGGATGGTGGGAGGGGGGTTAAGGTGCAAGTTTGAGGGAGGGAGAATGGGGAAAGGGTATCTACACACAGGATACTGGGAGCCAGGGGGCTGGGGGAGGTGGAGGATGGGTGGGTGGGGGGGCAGAAAAGAGACCACCAAGGGTTCAGAGAACAAAGACCAGATATTTGGAGTGGGGGGTGGGGGGGGCCAAAAAGGGAAACTGGAGGAGCAGTTGGGGATCCAGGTATCAGAGGTAGGGGGACTTGGGGAGCAAGAGGAAAGCCAGGGCTGAATGGGGGTTGGGGGACAAGAGCAGGTTGGGGCAGTAGTACTCCTCCCTCATGGGGGRGTTACCCCTCTTCTTTCCTCCTGCCCAAATTTGAGTTCCTTCCCTCTACCCTGACTCCTTGAACGTCACTGAAAATGGCAGCTATTGCGAGGAGTGGGGGCCACGGGTCTACCTGCTGTTCAACTCGTGGCCCAGGGGAGTGGTGAGGGGTGCCCCAGCCCCCTGCCTGCCTCTCCGCACAATACTTGAACATTCATCTGTACTGAAGTGTTACTTGAACCGGGGGAACCTCGGACCTGGGGGAGCCTGAGTGTGATTGGATGGGACCAGCTTGGACTGAGACTGGACTGGTGGGCACCCAGAGTGGACTGCACCACCTCCAGATATCTCTGGCTTTACTGTCTTGAGCAGCTCCACCCCTCTTGACCCGAGTTGGGGGTGGTGGGTGCCAGCCCAATGATGGGGAAGATGGGACTCCTCCAGCTTGGCTCTTCCCACACTTTCATCGTCATGGAAACTTGTATCCCATTCGCCCAGGGAACTGCCACTCCTGGTTGCCATGGAAATAGCAGCCAATGGACACCTCCCGATGCCAGTGCTAAGGCTGGAAATGGCCCCTCTCAGTTGCCATGGGAACTTAGTAACAGACTCTTTTTGGTCCTCTTCTCCACTGCCCCTTCCTCCTGTGTTGGGGTGGGGTCTTGGGAGCCAGAGGGAGGAGCTGGGCCAGGTTCCGCCCCTCAGTCCAGGCCTCTGGGGGCAGCCGGGTTGTACTATGTAGGGGAGGGGGAAATCTATCCACATACCTCAGGTAACAGGGAGGTGCGCGGGTGGGGGGAGGGACTGGGCGGACCAAAGGCCGAAGGGGAGGGGGGCCTGGGGATGGAAAGGCTTGAGGATGGGGCCCCTTGGGGGAGGGGGAGGAGGCAGCCCGGCGTGGGACGTGTTGGGGACCCAGCCGGGCTGGGCCCCTGGGCCCCCAAGTCTGTACAATATGGTTTGCTATAAAACTCAAAATCTTCCAGCCGGGGCCACCGTGTTCGTGTTCGCGTTTTTGTGTTTTGTGGTGTCGGGGGAGAATATGGGTAGGGTGAGGATGGCCAGAAATCCGTTCCTTGGGGTTCTTGGAGGAAGGGCTTTGGCTAGATCCTGCATATCAGAGTCACCTTTCCCGACTTAAGTATTTAGATTGGGGGAGTGGGGGCTTGGCGGTCTGGACACCTAAGAATATTCAGGTATACCTAGGAGTGATCCAGGGCCCAAGAATTCCCAGTTATAGAGAGGAACTGAGGGCTCACCTGGATCGGGTTGGGGCGCAAGGATATCTTTGGTGGACTGGGGTCGCGGGGTCCCCCAGATCTTTCCCTTCAGGCCAGGGACTGCGGGGGCTCGGTCCCCCGGCTCCACCCCATCATGTGGCCGCCCCGGCTCCGCCTCTGCCCCAGTTCCTGTTTCGGCCTCCGCCGACGTCCCACTTCGGCCCCTGGGGCTCCCCGCAGACGACTCTTCTGCTCCGCTGGGGCCGCCTCTCTGGGAGCCCGGCGCCTGCATCCGCGCYCACCCCCGCCGGGGGATGGGGCCTCCCCGCTGCTCTGACCGGCCCTTCTGGGGTCCCCGAGGTGCCTTGGCCCCTCCCTGACCGCCAGGCGCTACTGGTGCCGCCGCCCCCAGGATGAAGGGCGGCGAGGGAGACGTGGGCGAACAGGCCCCGTTGAACCCGGAGGTCGAGAGCCCGGCGGGCTCGGCCACGTACCGGGAGTTCGTGCACCGCGGTTACCTGGACCTTATGGGGGCCAGTCAGCACTCGCTGCGGGCGCTCAGCTGGCGCCGCCTCTACCTCAGCCGAGCCAAGCTCAAAGCCTCCAGCCGCACATCTGCCCTGCTGTCAGGCTTCGCCATGGTGAGGGGCGGGAAGGGGCACGCGGGGAGTGGGGTGGAGGTGAAGCACGTGGGGGGCACCGGTCGGAGGTGAAGTAAATGGCTCCCCAAGGAATACAGGGAAAGAGGAAAGGGAAGGATGGACTTTTAAGAGCCAAAGGGGAGAACAAGCAAGGTCCCAAATGACTGAAGAAGTGTCTTTATATTGGGGGAAGAGATATAAACAGGACCCTAGTAATATAAATCGGACCATGGGGAAGATTAGTCCTCTAGGTGTCGTGGGAGAAGGGGTTAACAAATCAATGACAAATATGCAACGATGGAACAAAGTGGTCCCAAAAGAGCATATTTCCAGCAGAAATGGTTACTAAGTCCTCCTGGCCAGGTTCAAAGGCAAATTAGAGCTGGATGCTGTCTGTGTCAACAAGGCCAGGGGGTCTGGAAGAATGAACTGTGTGGAGAGGTCACCCAGCTGAAGGAAAGCCCATCCCAGGAAGGAGGCTACTCCCCCATAGGGGCAAAGAGTGCTAGATTTCGTCCAGGAAAACTCTGAGAAGAGATGATGCCTGAGGATGCCGCTGGGGAAGGAAACTGATCAGGAAGCTGATAAGTGATTCTAAAGCTGATAAACTGCAGGTGTGGGAGGATGATGCCAGCTAACGGTCCCTCAGTGGCCTCAGGAAGTGGGACTGAGGGTGGTCCCAGGGTGTAGAGTCAACATAAGTCCTGTTCCTCCCTGGGTATGGCCAGCTGTGTAACCATGGACAAACCTCCACTCCCTGAACAGCCAGTGGGAAGTTGTGAGATCATGGAGGGTGCGTCCTCTGTAGCCTGCTAAGTGCCTGCCCAGGATGAGCTGAGATTCTTGTTATTGGGAACTCTAGATCCAGGCGTGTCAGAGCAAGACCTATTCACCAGAGGTGGCTCAGACCAACATGCTAATTGGAAAGGTATGAAAACTGAGGCTCTGCCAAGGGCAGTCAGCAGGGGAAGGGTATATAGAATGCAATCCTATTAATCCAGGGTTCTCCCCAACCTTCATTACAGGAAGCAGGGGGTCCTTGGGGAATGTGCTCCTCCTGTGTATGTGGACACCAGAGGGAGCTGAGATGGGGTCATATCCCTAGGTGATTTGGGTTAATCCTTGCCCCTTTCTGTGCCATAGCCACTGGATTTGAACGGTGATAGGGAAAATCTGTAATTTTAAGGGTCAACCCAGACCTAGTTGTTTCATGGGGGATGTGGGGAGGGGGTGTTGTTGCAGAATCCAAAGATTTGCCCACCTTCCTGATGGGGATGACATCTTGGAACAGGGAGTTAGCTCCCCTTCATCTGTATGGACTACAGAAGGAGGGACACTGCCACCCATGGACCTAGCTGAGGAAAGTGAGCCCCATGTTCCAACTTGTTCCCAACAGGACAGTCTGGTGTGCTGCAGGACTTGCAGATTGCTAGGGTGACACTTAAGGGTCAGAGCTTTCTTTTCAGGATAAGGAGGCTGGATGTATAAGTTCTAGGGGCAGGACTGGCCCCAGTCCTGGCAGGGGAGATCAATCCTGGGCCAGACCCTGGGAAAAACCAGAACTAAGCCTGGCCCAGATCCCTGTTTGTGGAAAACACCTGCTGACATCTGCCATGGCCCAGTTTCCTAAAATACTCAGGCTTGTCTTCCTACCATCACCTGCCAGGCTCTGTACCTTCCTTTTCCTTCTCCTAGCCCCAGAGCAATCCTTTTTTTTTTTTTTTTTTTTTAAGAGAGAGAGAGAGAGAGAGAGGAGAATTTTAATATTTATTTTTTAGTTTTTGGCGGACACAACATCTTTGTAAGTGGTGCTGAGGATTGAACCTGGGCCGCAMGCATGCCAGGCAAGCGCGCTACCGCTTGAGCCACATCCCCAGCCCCACAGAGCAATCTTAATGGATCCTATAAGAACTAGGAAAGAGGAAAGAACCAGATTCCAAAATCCAGGTTGCCTGAGTTAAAATAACATTATTCGGATTGTATTCAACTGTCACTAAGTACCAGGTACTGTGCCCAGAACTTTTCATGTGCATTCTTTATTTTGCCCTGTGAAAGACGTATCACCATTACGGCCATTAATTTTATTTTATTTTAGTTATAAAATTAGTTCTAATTTTATTTTAGTTTAGTTATAGGACAATACCTTTATTTTTAAATTTTTTTTAATATCTTTATTTTTATGTGGTGCTGAGGATCGAACCCAGGGCCTCACAAGTGCTAGGCGAGCACTTTGCCGCTGAGCCACAATCCCACCCCAATGTGTTTAATTTTTATGTGGTGCTGGGGATCAAACCCTCACACATGCTAGGCAAGCACTATACCACTGAGCTACAACCCCAACCCTATGGCCACGTAGCAGACAGGAAAATTGAGGGTCAGAGATGTTAGGACATTTTCCCAAGGCCCCATAACAAGTAAAGGGCAGGATTTGAACTTAAGCAGTCTGGCTCTATAGACCAACAATGTTTAGGTTTGTTTTTTTTTTTTTTTTTTTGGTACCAGGGACTGAACTCAGGGGCACTCAAACCACCGAGTCACATTCYTGGCCCTATTTTATATTTTATTTAGGGACAGGGTCTTACTAAGTTGCTAAGCTCCTTGCCATTGCTGAGGCTGGCTTTGAACTTGCAATTCTCCTGTCTCAGCCTGCTGAGCTGCTGGGATTACAGGTGTGCACCACCGTGCCTGGCTCTGTAGACCAAATTTATATTTGCTTAGAACATGGTCATCAACTGAAATGTTTGCAAAGACCAGGCAGGTAATACGAATGCCAGTTTGGCTGGGTAGGGAACTGTGATCAAGAGACCCCATGATCTGTCTAAAGGGAAAAACCATAATTGCCATGCTTGAATGTCAGTCTGGTGTGACCAGATCTGCTAAGTTTTCAGGAGGATCTGGAAACAGGTATTGTTTATTTGAAATCTCCTGAGTTTTAAAAGTAGGCCACTTATTCATTTTTTATAAAAGCACACTGTGTGAGCCAAGAAAACATGTTTGCAAATTGGTGTGGTGTGCCAATTTGCAAACTCTAGCTTTGGACTTTAGCATCAACTATAATAATAACAGCAAACACTTGCCTAGTGGTTACTGTGTGCCCAGACACTGTTCTTAGCACTAGATGTGTATTATCTCATTTAATTTCTCCAAAAACCTTATACGTACTATTAGCAATCTCCATTTTCCAGATAGGAGTTTGAGCCACAGAGAGAACTAAATCACTTGTTGAAGATTCCACAGCTGGCTAGGTATGATGGCACACACCTGTAATCCCAACCAATCAAGTAGGCGGTCGAGGCAGAAGGATCACAAGTTCAAGGCTGGCCTGGGCAACATAGTGGGATCCTGCCTCAAAATTTAAAAAAAAAATAAAAAGAGCTGAGGATGTGGCTCAGTGTTATTGTGCCCCTGGGCTCAATTTCCAGTACTGTAAAGAAAGAAAGAAGGAAAGATTACACAGCTTGTAGGGTCAAGAATGAACCTAGGCAGCCCAGAGTCTATGTTTTCTAAACCCTGTTATAACCAGGTAAAACTGTCAGAAACATGTCATCCAGCCCTCTTAATAGGTAGGTAGGGAAACCAAGGCACTACTCTAGGTCCTAGGGATATAGCAGTCATGGGTCCTAAGAGCCACAAAAATTCCTTTACTGTCAAGGAAGTTATGGGCATTCAATCCATCCCCTCTTGTGCCCACAGGTGGCCATGGTGGAGGTACAGCTGGAGAGTGACCATGAATACCCACCAGGCCTGCTGGTAGCCTTTAGTGCCTGTACCACCGTGCTAGTGGCTGTGCACCTCTTTGCACTTATGGTCTCCACATGTCTACTGCCCCACATTGAAGCCGTGAGCAACATCCACAACCTCAACTCTGTTCACCAGTCACCACACCAGCGACTCCACCGCTATGTAGAGCTGGCCTGGGGCTTCTCCACTGCCTTGGGCACTTTTCTCTTCCTGGCTGAAGTTGTCCTGGTGGGCTGGGTCAAGTTTGTGCCCATTGGGGCCCCTCTGGACACACCGGCCCCCATGGTACCTACATCCCATGTGTCTGGGACTCTGCCACCAGTGGCTTCCTCCCTTGGTCCAGCTTCCAAACTCCCACCATCCTCAGCTTCTGTAACCCCATCACAGGTTGAGCCTTCTGAGGCCTGCCCTCCCCGGCAGGTATGTGGTAGTAATGGTGGGGTTCACGGGCCAGGCTGGCAAGCAGCCATGGCCTCCACAGCAATCATGGTACCTGTGGGCCTTGTGTTTGTGGCCTTTGCCCTACATTTCTACCGTTCCTTAGTGGCCCACAAGACAGACCGCCACAAGCAGGAGCTAGAGGAGCTGAGTCGCCTGCAGGGGGAGYTGCAGGCTGTGTGAATCTAATGTTAGTCTCTGCTGTGTGCACTGCCTCCCTCAGGGTTCTGCAAGAGGCCACAGGGGCCGATAGACCATTCCCCACTCCTGGAGGGAGCCACTTCCTGTGGCCACTCTCAGGTAGAGACCAGACTTTTGCCCACAGGTTCTCACATTCCCAGGGATTTTCCCTGTCAGTCTGTCCCATGGTTTTTGTAAGCTCCAATCTACTAATGTCCAAATCTGGGAAGAGTAAGTGTGAAAGTGAAACATTCTCAATACAAGGATCCTGGGGTAGAAACAGGGAGGCAAGGAGACCCTAGAGGGATGTGTGGTGCTGACCTTCAGCTGCTCCTTTACAGGACATGGAGATCAGAAGGTCACAGACCTACACAGCTGCCCCCAAAGGCCATCAACCCTTGCTTCAGTTGTGTAGAATGTATTTTGCAGTTGGCATTTTTGGGGAAAATTTCCCCTGTACCCAGATTTTGATGGGTTCTACATTCTTGCTTTGGTGACTGTAGAGGGATTTTGGTGTTTCTGTGACAGATATAAGCCCAGGCCTTCCTAGGAAGAACCTACTTTTGGATTCAAGCCCACCCTCCACTGTTGACCTGTGGCCATTGGCAGAAGGGGGAGATCTTGCCTCACTGCCCTAGGCCCATACTCACATGCCTGTATCGGGGAGTTCTCGCCCTCCTGGCCCCTGGCTGGGGGTTCTTGGAAGACTGAGGGCCTGTGCACCCAGTCTGACTCCTTAGCAGGGACTGGGTGAAGAGATTTTAATGGAGAAAGTCCAGTCCCCAGCCCTTGGAATCAGAGCTCTTTAACACTTAATTTTTGATGCATCTTGTTTTTTACAATAAATTGTTTTACAGATGTCCTGGTGACTGTGTATTGGGTGAAGGGCAAGCTTTCTTGGGGTAAGATTACTTGTTCCTAAGAGCAAGTGGAGGCAAGTGTGCCTGGTGGGAAAAGGATTCCAGGTAAACCCCCATCAGGAGCTAACAAAGGCCAGTTGCTCCTTAATTTGGAGATATTCCAAGGTTGAAGGCCTTTGATCCACTGTTCCTGAGCTTAGGGTCTCTATCTCTTCTATGGAGAATTYCATGTAAGTTTTTGCATGACTCCATACTATATTCTAGGGACTTTATAAATCATCTCATTTAACCCTCACAGCCACCTCAAGAGACAAAAATCTATCACTTCCATTTCAGAGATAAGAAAGCTGAGGCCCAGGAAGGCTGATGATCTTGCCTAAAGCCACATAGCTTATCAGGGAAATTGAACTTGAATTACCTTATGGTAACATCACATGAGAATCTCTTTCTGATGGAAAGAAGGAACCAATACCTTTCAACTGGGACAAAAAAAAAAAAAAAAGAATCTGATCGCATCTATGCCTCCATGTTTCCAGCCTCATTTCCCTCAAATTTTAAGTCCTAATTCTCTGTCTTTTCTTGTGGTGGGAGACCTTGGACAAATCCCCCTTTTTCCCTTTCCTTATTGCTCAAAATGGTGAATGTGCAGCCCTTCTTGCACTATTTTGAAGACTACAATAAGTCCCCTGTGACAGGAATTACCATCAATTTTTACAGGAAGAATCTTAAACTTATGGAGGTCAGTGGCGTGCCCAAGGTCATACAGTGAGGGACTGCTGTATGTCAGAAGAGATGAGATGTCATAAGCTTAAGGCATCCTCCGTCATGCAAAAGGGCCTGGTGGGAGTGCGGTTCCTCCAGAGCAAGGCTCCGGTATCCACACCGAATAGAGAGGGTGATCAGACTTAGGGAGGCCTCAGCTTCAAGGTCCCAGGTTACTCCTGGACTGATGCTGCCCTCAAGCGGTGAAAACCTGTGAGCATAGGGAAGCACAGCTGGAGAAAGCGGGAACTGGAACCATTATGTTTGTATTCCTGCACATTCTTTATTTTTTACAGGAGCCACGTAAAGTCCTTTAGGCCCTATTTAGGCTTATCCGAGAACCCCGAGACTAGCTCAGATTTAACCACAGAGCTGGGGTAAGCACAGCAAAATGCAGCACTTTCCGCAGGCCTCAGTCTCCCCATCTCTCAAGTGGGCTACTTAAAACAGAGGCCCAGGTGGAATAACGGGAAGAAAACCTGCGCTGCATGTGTGTGGGTCCAGGCAAACTATCTGAGTCACCGCTCCTCGTTGTATTTTTCCACCTCCCGGYTGGCGGGGTTCAGCAGGTCCTACAGGAAGCTCCCCCGCGACGCCGGGCTTCGCACGCCCTGGCCACGCCCCTCTGCGCGCGGAGGTCTGACCCCGCCCACAGAAGGATCCGCAGATTCGCTAGACCCGCTTCTCTGCTGAAAATTCTCATTGGACTCTGAGAAGACTCTTTGCGTTGTCCATTTTCCCCTGGGTCGGAAGTGGGCTGTCCCCTGAGTTGTGCTAGTACGAAAGATCCAGAAAAAGTGGCTGACCCTGTCAACAGGGCTGGGCTAACCAGGCGTTATTTTCTTGACTCCACGAAGGCGGCTGAAGGGAGGCGACGGCTGAAGTCAGGAACAGTGGCGAATCTGCAGCCTCTTAGATCTTTGGCCGCGCAAGGAAGGGGCAGGGAAGAGGAGCAAAGGAGCACGCATCCTGTCCACCAATTCGCCCCGCCCGCCTGACGAATCTGCGTCTGTTCAACGCGCCACTCAGAACTCCCGAGCTCTGGCTGGCCTCCTCCCCTTCGCCCCGCCCCCTTTTCCTCAGGGATTAGTCGCAGCTTTCGTCGCCGCTGATTCGTTAAGAACCCCAGTCTGGAGCAGCTGGATAGTGGTGGTGAAACCCACTCTCCGGGGGATGCGGCCAATCTCCAGGTTCCTTGGGCCACAACTCCCGAGCCATACAGGGCGCCGGCCGAGGCAGGGTCGCTACCCTCGGACCCGTGGATCTCCAGGCAGCGCCTGTGACGAAAGTGCGAATGCAGACGCTGTGCCCTCTGGGCCTCGCGCAGGTGGCGGTGGTGTTTGGTGCGCGCGCCGGGGAGGTGGTGGTGGGGGGGCGCCGCCGCCGCCACCGCTGCGGGGCCGGGTCTCGCGCTGCCGCCGCCGCCACCGCCGCCTCGCGCCGCTGAGGTGCCGCGCGGGGTGGGGGGGAGGGGGAGCCGCTCGCCACGAGCGGGTGAGTAGGGCCGCGGCGCGCGTGCGCGGAGACGGGGGGGTGCAGAACGCGCCGGGGCGGGAGGAGAGGGCAGCGGCGCGCGTTCCCCCCACCCCCCCCGCCCGGATTCGGGGCTGAAGCCGGGTCTCGGGCTCGGTCTCGCGGTGTTTCCAACGCCCCGAAGAGGTGCCACCTCTCGGCCAGAGGATCGGGGCGCGGGGACGGGAGCGGCTGTGTGGGAGCGGGAGCCGGGCTTGGCCCGGGCCGCTGGCCGGTGAGGAGGCGTGAGGGGGCGGGGCCTGCCAGGGGGCGGGGGAGGGGTCTTGCGCCGAGGCCAAGTGGGGCGCGCGCTGGGGAGAGCGGGAAGGTAAGGGGGCGCGAGACGGGCCTGGGGGCCTGAGGGTAGAGTTGGGAGGTGGAGAGAGAATGGGGTGTTGTGGTGAGACAGGGTACTTGGGGCAAAATCTGAGGGAGCCACGGGTCTGGGTGAGGTGTGGAAACTGGAGTGATGAGAGAACCTGGAATCTGGGCTAGCCAATGAGGGGACAGCAAGGGAGTCAGGCCTAAGTCCTGGACCCTCTTTGCGTATCCCTCTTTTCCTAACAGTGTAAATGAGCAAAGATGGATCAAGAAGGTGGGGGAGATGGGCAGAAAGCCCCGAGCTTCCAGTGGCGGAACTACAAGCTCATCGTGGATCCTGCCTTGGACCCTGCCTTGCGCAGGCCTTCTCAGAAGGTGTACCGCTATGACGGAATCCACTTCAGTGTCAACGTGAGTGCCCCAGGGCTTTCCTTGCTTTCTGGGGGACTCTAGGGCCCCCCTTTCTCTCTTACTCCTTTCAGCACCTAGAGCTCCCATACTCAGAGCTTGCCTTCTCAAAAATGAGCAGGTGACCCCAGCTCTTTAGCATCATATGGGTCCTCAGATGGGCCTTTTAGAGCTCAACAATTTGGCTTCATCCTGAGCTGTGTTTCTGTTCCTGCTTTCCTTATTAGGACTCAAAGTATATACCAGTCGAAGACCTCCAAGACCCCCGTTGCCATGTCAGGTCCAAAAACAGAGACTTTTCCCTCCCAGTCCCTAAGTTTAAGGTAGGTGTCTCCTGGTATGGTGGCCTTTGGAGGGTGTGGAGGATCCTGGCACTGTAGTCTTTACAGAGCCTGATAAAAGGGGTATTCCAGTGAAAGACTGACAGCCAGATACGACAGCTTCTGGGTCTGTGAGGCTGGGATGTTCTGGACAGGAGGTACACTTGTATAGTTGTGGTGTCTCAGGTGTATCTCTGGTGGCAAGGCTGTTGAATTCTTGAAAGATGAGGTAAGGACAGGTTTAGCTGTCATGTCTGTCACTGTGTATTCCTAGACATGACAGCAGGAAATCCCAGTTCTTCAGCAATTAAGGGGAGTGACAAGACCACTGCCCATGTTCTTCACCTCTCATTTGGCCATGTGATCCTCCATCTTGTTTCCTAAGAGCATTTCCATTTTCCAATCCAAGCAGAGTACTTACCAGGCCTTGAACTGAGCTTAGAAAACTGGTGGTTATAAGTTTTTGTCTTTGTTTTTGTCTTAATTATTTTTCCTTCACTAGTTTTCTTCTTTCTAGGTAGTTTATAATAGAGTCCCTTCACCCTTTTTTTCCTTGGTGTACTTTTCCTGGACAATCCCTATAGCTTTGACTATTACTTCAGCATTAATGACTTCCAAATATGTTTCTAGTCAACATCAATCTCGAACTCTACACTTGTGTGCCTTGTAGGGGGCAGCTCCATCTGGAGGCCCCACAGACATTTCAAACTCAAGAAGAGATTTAAAACAAATCTCTTGGGCTGGGGATGTGGCTCAAGCGGTAGCGCGCTCGCCTGGCATGCGTGCGGCCCGGGTTCGATCCTCAGCACCACATACCAACAAAGATGTTGTGTCCGCCGAGAACTAAAAAATAAATATTAAAAAATTCTCTCTCTCTCTCTCTCTGTCTCTCCTCTCTCACTCTCTCTTTAAAAAAAAAACAAAAAAAAAAAAAAAAAAACAAATCTCTTTGCCTCTCAGTCCTATTCTTCCTTCATTTTCTCTACTGATAAATGTGACACCATTTCCTTACCTGCACAGACTGGAAATCTAGGAATTAACCAGCAGTTTTTCTCTTAATTTTTAAATTCCTGTTGCCATTTCCTTAATGTGGACCCTTGTATTCATTTCACTGGGTTTCCTTGCCTCTGTGCTTCACTCAACTGCTCTGTCCTGCTGACAGTTGTGTCTATGCTAGGGATGTGGCTCAGTGGTTAAGAGAATAGTAAAGAGATTTTACTATTCTCTTATTTTACTTTTGTTGCCAAGTCTATGTTTTTGAGCATTGGCATGTATAGTGATTGATGTGGCCAAGCCTTATCCTCTGCTTTGACATCTATCTTTTCATACCATATAATTTGTAATTTTTATAAATACCAAGTCTTTCCTAAAAATCTTATATGTTTATTTACATATTGTGTTATTCAACCTAGGGCCTCACACATATTAGGCAAACACTAAACTACATCCCCAGCCCTTTTCATTTTATTTCAAGATAGTGTCTCAGTTGCACAGACTGGCCTTGAACTTGTGATCCTTCTGCCTTTATCTCCTGAGGAGCTGAGAGTAGAAGTGGCACCTCTGTGCCTGTTTGCTTGTTTTTTTGAGATGGGGTCTTGCTCTGTTGCCAGGCTGGCCTCAAACTCCTAGCCTT